TGTCCCCCCGATGTGGGAGGAGGAGGACGAGTGCCTGCACTTCCACGGCATGCTGTCCCTGCACCGCCTCTTCGAGGTGCTGGCCGCGCAGCTGACCCCGGCCGACGTCACCGTGCTGTCCTTCCTGCTGGACGAGGCCCTGTCACCACCCGCCGGGGACGGTGACAGCGGGGCCAGCCCCCCGAGGGGGCGGCGGGACCCCCGGGACGGGCTGGAGCTGCTGCTGGAGCTGGAGCGGCGCGGGCTGTGCCACGAGGGGGACCTGGGCCTGCTGCGGCAGCTGCTGCGGCTGCTGGCGCGCCACGACCTGCTCAGGTGTGTGACGCTGAAGAGACCGCGGCCAGGTGAGTGTCACCTCAGTGTCACCTCATTGTCACCTGTCTGTGTCACCCTGTGTGCCCCCTTTGTGTCACCCCTGTGTCCCCCTGCACGACCTGGGCCTGCTGCGGCTGCTGCTGCGGCTGCTGGCACGGCACGACCTGCTCAGGTGTGTGACCCTGAAGAGACCGCGGCCAGGTGAGTGTCACCTCAGTGTCACCTCAGTGTCACCTGTCTGTGTCACCCTGTGTGTCCTTGTGTCACCCCGTGTCCCCCAAACCCTGCTCTGTGTGCCCCCCATGTCCCCCTGACCTGCTCAGGTGTGTGACGCTGAAGAGACCGCGGCCAGGTGAGTGTCACCTCAGTGTCACCTCAGTGTCACCTGTCTGTGTGTCCCTGTGTGTCCTTGTGTCACCCCGTGTCCCCCAAACCCTGCTCTGTGTGCCCCCCATGTCCCCCTGACCTGCTCAGGTGTGTGACGCTGAAGAGACCGCGGCCAGGTGAGTGTCACCTCGGTGTCACCTCGGTGTCACCTGTCTGTGTCACCCTGTGTGTCCTCCTGTCACCCCCGTGTCCCCCTGCACGACCTGCTCAGGTGTGTCACCCTGAAGAGGCCACAGCCAGGTGAGTGTCACTGCAGTGTCACCTCAGTGTCACTTCTTTGTGTCCCTCTGTGTCCCCTCTGTGTCGCTGTGTCACTCTAAAGTCCCGGTGTCCTGGTCACTGTCACCCATCTGTGTCCCCTCCTGTGTCCCCTGTGTCCCCTCACTGTCCCCCATGTCCCCTCGGTGTCCCCTCCTGTGTCCCCTGTGTCCCCTCGTGTCCCCTCGGTGTCTCCTGTGTCCCCTCCTGTGTCCCCTCCTGTGTCCCCTCGGTGTCCCCTGTGTCCCCTCGGTGTCCCCCCGTGTCCCCCAGCCCGACCTGCCCGGGTGTGTCACCCTAAGCCAGCGCAGGGCTGAGTGACACAGCTCGGTGTCACCTCGGTGTCACCTGCCTGTGGCTGCCACACCCTCTGTGTGTCCCTGTGTCACCCTAAAGTGGCCAAAGCCACCTCGGTGTCACCTCCCTGTGGCGGCCACGCCCCCCTGAGTGTCCCTGTGTCACCCAAAAGCTGCTGTGTCCCCTCAGTGCCACCTCTCTGTCACCTCGTGTCACCTAAAGCTCCTGTCCCGTGCTCGGTGCCAGCTCCTTGTCACCCCCTGTGTCACCCTGAGGTTCCCTGTCACCTCCCTGTGCTGGCCACACCCGCTCTGTGTGTCCCTGTGTCACCCAAAAGCTGCTGTGTCCCCTCAGTGCCACTTCCCTGTCACCCCCCGTGTCCTCTTTGTCCTTTCCAGTGTCCCCTCAGTGTCCCCATTGCTGACCTCTGTCCCCTCTGTCCCCGCAGTGTCCCCAGACCGTGTCACCTGTGTCCCCTCAGTGTCACCTGTGTCCCCAGCACTGACCGTGTCCCCTCTGTCCCACAGTGTCACCTGACCGTGTCACCTGTGTCCCCGCCCTGGGGGACCCCTGCCCGAGCCCCCCCCAGCCCCGCCCCGAGCACTGGGAGACAGGTGAGCCTGGGGACACCTGGGGACACCTGGAGGGACACCTTGGGGACATTGGGGACACCTGGGGGACACTTGGGGGGGCCTGGGGACGCTTTGGGGACACTTTGGGGGCAGTTTTGGGTCATTTTGGGGCACTTTGGGTCAGTGTGGGGTCATTTTGGGGGGCTGGGGTCACTCTGGGGTCACTCTGGGGACATTTGGGGACACCTGGGGACACTTTGGGGTCAGTTTGGGGACAGTTTTGGGCACTTTGGGGTCACTCTGGGGTCATTTTGGGGGGCTGGGGGTCAGTTTGGGGACAGTTTTGGGCACTTTGGGGTCACTTGTGGTCACTTTGGGTCACTCTGGGGACACTTTTGGGCGTCCTTGGGGGTCACTCAGGGGTCACTCAGGGTCACTCCAGGGGTCAGCGGTCACTCAGGGTCACTCATTGGT